CTCCGTAAGTAGAACACGACTGAAAAAGTAAAAAAAAAAATCAGCGACGTTGGGGCGCCTGACTCTTGCAGAATGGGAGATTTCGAGGGTGTGGCCCCATGGGGAAACCCATTTGCATGCAGCACCGGCGATAGAAACTGCAGCGAAACTGCAGCAGCGGCCAAAGAAATATGCCACCTATTTCGGCGCTATTTTCTCATTTTTCTCTCATCTCTTTGCGGCTCTTGTCGTCTTGTTTTGGGGAGCAGTTGGTATTGAAAAACCAATACCAATCCAATTTGGCCAACCAACCAGCCATATATCCATCAATCCGTGCCTGCATCTATCAATGCATCGGGGTAAGGCATTCACCAATCCATTCATTTCCATAGAAATGTGCGAAGATTATATGTTTCGTCAAACGCGAAATTGCGCACGAATATGCCACACCCCCTCCGCCGCCACCCTCCCCTCCCCTTCTTTGGCCCACTCCCCCAACTCCTTGATGCGATGGTTGTTGGTTGTTGGTCGGTTTTGGCCCGAGTTTGCACTGTTTCACTGGCTGTCTCGATTCTCTTTTTTGGCCCGGCACAGTTGAAGCGGTTTGCGAGGCTACACTAGCACACATTGCCCGCTCGTTTGGCTGCCATTGTGGTTGCTGCAGCTAAAACGGGGCGTATGAGTGTTTTCAGACATCTTCCCCGGCAGCAACTCTCTCCCACGACAAAAAAAAAAAAAACACAGAGGTCGCTTTTTTGGGCTTGGCTTGATTTCATCTAGCCTTAAATTCACAGTCGCACAAGTTGTAAAGGCTTCTGGTGATAAGATATGCATTAGCACTTTGCTTGGCAACAATTAATCAAGGTTGGGATTTGATTTGCCATGTCCAGCAAAAACTTTTTGATAACCACTTTTGATAGCCACTTAATCAAAGAGTTTTCTTGATATGAATAATAAATTTTAGAATATTTAATTCTAGAATTTTTCATCATATATTTTTTGAGAAACACTTTGAAACAGGAAACGTCTTTAAACTACCCCATTTGTTTAGCAAAGTTATTACAAGAATTCCAGTATTTAAACGTCTAGGTATCTAAAATGTTTGAAAATAGTAATTGATTTACATGCTGCCTACAATTATAGGCAAAATATATAATCGATTGCTCCTAAAAAGCTTGAGCTAGTCTGGCCAATCAAAAAAAAAAAAAAAAGAAAAGTCATGTCACAGGTGCTTTCTCAATATTTTATGCGAATTTATTTTTCCAATTGCTGACACACACTGAGCAAAAATTCTCATATTACTTCTTTCTTTCCTTTTGAGTCTAATGGGTGCTTTGCATAAATATAAACCTTCTTCTCTTCACTTCCAGCCATGTGCGATGATTGTTCCCTTTGGATGTTACGACCTTTCTCGTCACTTTGTTTTAAAGTGTTTCCCTTTCCAAGCAGTCGGATTTTCCTCCGCTTTCCCTTGCCGTGAGGTCCAGCTCCAAACCATTGTGTTTCTCTTGTTTTTGCTCCATTTCTACTACTGCTCCTCTCAGGAGAACATAGTTATGGGTTTCGCTGCTGCTTTTTAGAGTAACAATTATTCCTTAACTGCACTTTAGCAGCACAAAATGTCAGGCCCACTGAATGTTCATTATAAAATTCCATCGTCAGTTTCTTCAGCTTCGCTTTTCCGAATCCAAATGGGCGGGGGAGGAGGCGGGAAATGGAAAATCGTTCAATACAGTGTTGTATATAGTATGTGGTATGCAGTATGCAGTATGCAAAGAATAGAAAAATTTATGACTATGGCGAGGGCATTACGTGTCTGTCAAACATTTCCGCCAGAGGTTCCCTGCACCATGATGTTCGCCATCACGGAATACGAGCCAAATTCAAAAGCGCAAAAAGTACAAAAAGTACAAAAAACGTTCTTATCTCGGCCGGTGTGCGCACACAAGAAAAAGGAGTGCAAAACCCGGGCTAAAATCCAAAAACGTGGCCAATAAGGGGGCAGGTGCGGTCCGCGGTGCGGGGTGCGGGGTGCGGGGTGCGAGGTCCGGGGATGACGTTAACCCACCATGGCCGCCATCATATCGCCCCGCACGAAGCATTCGCGACTCACGTCCAATGCGCACCGCGTTCTGATTCGTTTCGCTTTTTGCATGACTTGAGATCGTAAAAAATTCATATTTTTTCTCTCGTTATACCCTTCCAGTGGATATTATGATTTCAATCAAAAGTTTGCAATGCAGTGAAAGAGACATTTGCGAACCCTTATAGTACATATATTCTTGATCAGCAGGATTAGGAATGTTTATCGTTATTTTTTATTAAATAAAATGCACATTCTCGTAATAAAATAATAAGATTGAAGATAATAAACTAGGACATCGATTGCTATTAAAAAAAACAAAAACAAGCCTTAAAAATATATTTTTAGCGTTACATTAATTTTATTTGTAAGAAATTAAAATATTATTGTCTATAAGAATTTTGTTTAAAAGGGAATAAAAGATGGATTAGTGCAAACTAAAAATTAAGTCGATATGACCATTTAGATGGTATTTTGTAAAACTTGTCGTTTTTTTCGAAACTTTACAAAATTATAACTAAGCTTATACTTTTTTATTTATTCCTGATACAAGTGGTTAGTTATTTATCGAGAAGTATTTAAAAAAAAAATTTGAAAGCCAATAAAAAATGTGAAAATTTTTGTTTGGTTTGTGAAGGAATAACTCCTATATAAGAAAAATGAAGCTTTTTCTTAACTTATAAGTTTACATACAAAGAGTATATATTAAATTTTTGCAATAGCAGCCAGGGTCCATAAAATTCGGCCTACCAAATTTTGTTTTATTTTTATTTTTTCGTTTTATAGTGTTTTTCTGTTGTCGGCTGCGTATGGGGCAAGTTGTGGCGCAGAAACACCGCTTTCGCGGGCGTTTTCAGAGCCGGTCATAATATTTAACTCACCGCTCCCTCGCGGGGTTGCTTTTCATTAGGTTTTGCTCCGTTCTGCGCCATATTGCCTGCCGCAGGAGCAAGGAGCATGGAGCAGAAAGGAGGGAGCAGGGTTCGGGGTTCTGGGACATCCGCCATCTTGCCTCGCCTCATTTGGTTCGTTATTGCTCATTTCTTTGCCAGGCCTGCCAGATTAATGGGTGCGATAAGGTCGCCGGCCGCCAGTAGGTGTAGCCCAGACCCAAGACCCCAGCCTCAGACTTTGACTCAGAGCCACACAGAAAAAAATGGTTTTGATAAAATTCCGTATTCCGCATAGATAAAGGACATATCCATATATAAATTATATATTACATTGGTTCACAAAAATAAATCGGCAAAATCGCCCAGAGATCAAACCTTGATTTTTCGGTATAGTTGGACTCCTTGATTCAGAAAATGAAACATAAAATGTATTCTGTGGCTTTAATTTTTTTTTAAAAGTGCTAATAACGTTTTTTTTACTTGGTTTCCTGTCTAAACTGATTATGATCATGAAGCGCTTATTTTACTAGAAAAAGAACGTTCTTCAATTTTGTAGAACAAGCTATAAGGATTGGTTTATTGATATAGATGCTAGAGCTCGACAAAGTTTGTAAAACTAGTTAAAACAGAAGTTCTTACACCATAAAATAAATCTTACAAAACTCTGGGGGATTTTGTGATATAAATATGAAAGCCAGTGTTATTTATTGGTAATATTGTTTGTTGACCTGTAGAGATCAAATGGACATTGGCAATATTTTTTCCTGTGTAGTGCCAAGTCCAGACGCCAGGAGGCTTTGGGTTCAGCCATCCACCAACCCAATATGGTAGCCTTCGCACATCGAGCCCGCATGCTCAGTTGCTTTTCCTTTCCGCAACATGGAATGTGCTTGTTTTGGCCAAACCAAAACCAAGCCAAAGGGCACTGCCTTCCTCCTCTTATTCCCCCAAATCCACCAACTTTGACTCTGACTATGGGTAAAAAAATTCTTATCTGCCAGCAGAGATCTCCAGCCAATCCCGCCCCGTTTTATGACTCACAACAAGATGAAGAAGGCTCACGTTCGGGTTTTGTATGGCTTTGGAGGTGCCGATGGAAGATAAAAAGCTCCGACAGGTTAGATTGAAACTCACTGAGCGTTTAGTCCTTTTTCATGAATATATTTTCATAGAAGAAATCAATACCATTTACTCCTTAAGTGAAACCAATTCTCATTTAAAATTTTGTAGCTTTATTTAATTGAATAGCTTAATTAGCGTATTTCTTAGTGAAGTTCCGTGTCTTTAGATCACAATATATTACTAAACTTTCATCTTCCTCTGGATAAATAAAACAACTTAATTAAGTTTCCCAGCATTAAAATTTTTGCAACTTTTAAAGGAATTTCTAAGATAAGTTCTTGACAATGATGTCAATAAGTTTGCTTATTTTCTTACTTTCAATCTTTGAGAATTACTATCACCTGTACTTCTCTAAAATAACCCACATCTATAAATATATTTATAATCTAATTGTTCCCTTTATTACTGCATTGTTTATGGCCCGCTCTACACCCAGAAAAAAGTAGTACGAATAATTTTAGTTCGAACCTACTTGAAAATCGGCCGAATATTGTTAACATTTTTAAGTACAGATCCTATTTTATAATAATATTTAACGATATGTTTCACTTAAATCCTGTAGAACTTCGGGATTGAATAATTCGTACTTGAATTAAACAAATTACCGTACTTTTGACCCCTTTCTTACTTGGTATGACACCTAAATACTGTTGTTTTTCTTTCAGTATACCTAATCTACTTAAACTCAATGTAAAATAGATGTTTTTGTGAACCACCCAAGGGCATCATCCACATGTCTCCCCATATTTGACCCAGTCCCAGTCTTTATTTCCTTGATAATCTGCGTCATGTGAATTGACCGTGAAAGTCTTTCATATAAAATATATTTTGTTTGCACAGCTGAAACTCCTTGTCAGATGATACTGGTACTTCAGTGATAAAAACGGCAAAGCCAACCTCGGATCGACTTAGTTGTCTCCAATATGCGGCGGCTTTGGTTGCTTCTCCAGCTGCTCCTGCTGATCCTGCTGTGTCCAACAAATGGACAAATCCAGCCAAGAATTGTGGGTGGCACAGCCACCACCCTGTCCGCAGTGGGTGGTTTTGTGGTGAACCTCCGCTACGACGGCACCTTCTACTGCGGCGGTACATTGGTGAGCAGTCGACATGTGGTCACGGCGGCCCATTGTCTCAATGGATACCAGGCGGGACGCATAACTGTCCAGGGCGGAGTGAGCCAGCTCAGCCAGACGGGCGTAGTGAGGCGCGTGGCCAAGTACTTCATGCCGAAGAGCTTTAGTAGCTCCAGCCTCAACTGGGATGTGGGTGTCATCCGGCTGCAGAGTTCGCTGACGGGCAGTGGCATCACCACCATATCCCTGTGCCAGGTGGAGTGGCGGGCAGGTGACTACATGCGCGTCTCCGGCTGGGGCACCACTCGCTACGGCAACTCCAATCCCTCGAATCAGCTGCGCACCGTACGCATCCAGTTGCTTCAGAAGAAGGTGTGCCAGCGGGCCTACCAATACAGGGACACCCTCACGGGATCCAGCTTCTGCGCCCGTTCCGGTGGCAGGGACAGCTGCTCCGGCGACTCCGGTGGCGGGGCCATCTTCAACAACCAGCTCTGCGGCGTCGTGTCCTGGGGACTGGGCTGTGCCAACAAGTATCCCGGCGTCTACACCAGCGTCCATCGAGTGCGCAGCTTCATCGTCAGCGCCATGAAGAAGTGAACAGTGAAGAGAGAGCAGTCCAAAGCCCGGATGCCGCAGCTATTAATAGTTAGTTAAAATATTAATTAAAAATCGTTAAAGCCAAGTGCTGGTGCATCAGGAAGCCCTTGGCCCGGCCCAAACCGGATGGGCGTTGGGCGATGTTCGATGGGCGAATATGAAGATATCAGCTATGTAAATTGGTAGGTACTGCACAGTGCTTGGGGACTTGGGGAAAATGTGGGAGATCTGTTTTTTATGGATAACCATAAACCTTAAATTATAAATACAAAATAAAAAGTATTTAAAATTAAGCTTCTCTAGGATTACAGTTCTCCCTTAAAACTGTACGATTTGGTATGTTATACCTTTTGGCTAGCAGTTTATTCAATTTGACCCAAACCAGTTCATTTAAGGCCAGAACTTTGAAAAGGCGAACCTCTTAAGGAAGTTCAAATGTTGACTTACAATTTAAGAAAATACTCGATGATTACCTTCATACCTTCAAATGGTATTTTAGTCTCAAACCACTGTGCCTTGGACAACGGCAAAGGGCCGATCGATGAGTGGCCACTTCCGATTGTTGACTTTGCTGTCGCGCGCTAACTCCAAAGCGATTGCGCCTTGATTTGCATTGATTGCTTCTGGGTTCTGGAGAAGGAAGGTTTCTGTCCTGTACCTGCAGCGGAAGGAAGCTGACCACTGGCCACCATGGTGGCACGGGTCAGCCAGGGAAGCTTTCATATCCCGTCCAGCGCTGATTGCATCTAATTCCAGCTTGATTAAGTGCAGTTAAAGCGCCACTTAACACGTGCTGCCGCGTTGACTGCTGGTCAACGATCTGGTGACAAACGAACGGTTGGATCGAGCGGATCGGGCTCATTTGTGTAATTGCGAGGTGACCCGCATGCGTTTAAGATAAAATTGCAATTAATATGGTCTAATGTGGTATCGAGTGATTTCCATAACGGTGGTGCACCGCAAGCGATGACAATCAATGGGTGATTGGCGCAATTTCTAATGCATTTCTTGCCATTAATGAGCTACCGTTTGATTGAGCACTTAATGCGATCGAAATTAATACATCCCATTCACTGAAGGCCGGAAATCGAAGTGCCGGGGTCAATAGCTCTGTGTGTGTGTCACTCAATTCAATTTGTGGTAAGTAGTTCCAGTCCCCTCACCTTATCAATAGTGCTCCAAAAATAATAAAGTGCTAATTGTGCATCGATTGGCAGCCGAAAAGCGTTCCCATCCCAAAACCACATCCATCGACAGATTGACAGCCACAAATACACGAATTAGCCAAGGCCTGAATAGGTGGAAACGAGCCAAGTTCGACGGCTAATCAGCTAACCAAATTATTATTATTAAACTCGTTCGCTCATGCCGGCCAATTAGCATTGTGTTCTGGCTGGCAGTGGTTTCTCCAACTGCCGGCCAGAACCAATAAAAGATTGTACAGAACTTTTGCCTGCCGCGGCATATCGACAATTGAATTGCAATTAAGTTGCAGCCAGGTTGCTTATTAGTTTATTACATCCACAACAAATCTCAACAAACGCTAATTAAGACACAAATAATCGAACGTGCCAACACTGAAAGCCAATAATAAGCCATATTGTGTGCCCAGAGGGGTGGGTCCCCGATTCGAGGGTTCGAATACGGTTCGAATACGGTTCGAATACTATAAGTTGCCGAAAGGGTGGTTCTTGAGTTGTTGTTGTAGCCGTAGCAGTAGCAGTAGTGGTTGCTAATGGCCGGTGGGGCGTCGTGGGTGGCCCAATAAAGTTGTCCCGGGCCAAAGGACACTCATACAACTCAACAAAGGACTATGCAAACGTCTGGAGTTCGATCAGCGATGAGAACTTGGCTTTAAGCAAGGCGATTTGGGGAGGGAAGTATTACCAGTTATAGTCGATCCAACTCCTTTACTCACTATTCGAATTTTGCTTAAGGTTATATTTGTACTTAACTTATAAACTATTTTTATAAAAGAAAAACTAGTCGAAACTAAGTTCACTTAATAAAGTCTATTGTAGTCAGAAAACGATAAGACATTAATGGTTTTAAGAGTGAAAAGTAGTCAAATATAAAGATTATAAGACAAAGTCTGAGCGTCCTTATTTAAGAATCAAATAATCTTTAGCTTTGGACTTTGGTAAAAATAAATATAATATACATGTATTGATTTTTGTTTATTTTTTAACTCGAAGTGATAATTAGTTGTATAATTATAAGTTGTTATGATAGGATATTTATAAGTTGCCACGGTTACTCTTACCGTTGGCGAAATAATAAGAAATAATCAATATATTTTAAAAAGTCCTTGTTTCTGAAGGCTTACAAATGGTGTTTACAGTTGAATAAAGATATACACTTACTAGATTTTACTGGTTTGGTGAGGGCCAGCACTGCTGCCAAGTTCCCTCAGTTTGGGATCTTTTGGGCTTGCGTGAGTTGTCCGTCTGGAACTGGGATATTCAGAATGGAAATGGGAATGGGATTGGGATTGGAGTTGGGCCACCCACGGCCTGCGGTATTTGAACGACACGCCCAAATTGTCCAACTTGCATTGGCAAAAGGCAAACTAAAACATGGCAAGCCGTGCCGTGGGGAGGGGTGTCCACTGTACAGGGCTAACCCTTGGAGGGAAAACCAACCACCGCGCAGCGAGCAACCGCAGCCGCAACCTGTAAAAAGTAAACAGCGGCGGTAGTCGAAGTGGGAGTGGGAGGTCAGGGGTCAGAGTGTGGCTCCTGTAACTCCTGCACCGGTGTGTGTGTTCGTGTGTGTCTGTGTGTAAGTGTCTGTGTGGCAATGGCGCGCAATGCCATGAAAACGTAACCGCAAATGTGGTGGCGATGGAAGCAGGAGCGGTTTTCCGGGAGAGGGAACATTTAGCAGCAGTGTTGCCGTTTTAGCCTACTTCGGTCCAAATTTAGCATGTTTTAAAATTTAATAGCTACAATATAAACCCACCATAAATCTAGCAGTTTTCCAGCGATAGATATGAAAGTGAATTTGATAATATGTTAATGAGTTTAACATAAATAAGCACATTCAACAGAGAGCAACGATAGTGCCTTTAATCCTACCATATCTTAGCTCTTGTGTTTATTATAAATGAGCCGCTTTTGTAAGTGTTTTATTTATATACCTTCCGTTTTGTTATTATTAACATCTTAAAATATGTAAGAGAAGTGGAAGATAAAATTTGAACAGCTTGTATATAGTAATTAAAATTATAGAAAGGTTTATTGGAAAATTAGTATTTCCTTCTGTTACCAAATGCTAGTAAAATGCATACTTATTTTATAAAAGATAAAAACTATATCCAAATGAAAGACAACACACAACGTACAAGAGACGAGTTATATTTCCAAAATTATGAACATTTTAAAATAATATATGATTTTTCTTTCTTTATTTATGTAATTTAAATTTGTTAAAAGCCAACAAATATAATTGTTTTAAATAAAAAATACAATTTCGTTGATCATATTCATAATTTTTGACTTAAACTTATATTTATTGTGTACACATGTTTTTTTCAATTGGATATAGCATAGCAATTGCATATAATTTTTTATCCAAAATCTGGCTTATAAGGAAGCCTAAAACCTGGCAACACTGGTGAGCGGTTGACAGGAACAGGCGTTTGCTTATGTAGTCCGGCTGTCTCTGCGCCTGTGTAGGTGTCCTGGCAAAAAAGGACCCTTTTGCAGGGAAGGAGGAGCAGTGACGGAGTGGAGGTGGCCCGTCGAATCTTTTGCCGTTCTTTGGGGACCTCGGCCGGAACGGAAGTGAATGGCACATTATGTTGCCGCTGCTTGACGTGGCCGTGTTGTTGGACTGCTGTCGTCATCCGGCCCGGGGTCGAAAGCCACGTTGCGGGGTGGTAATTGGATGGGCTGGCTATGAGTGTGTGCGTGTACTTGCTATTATGTACTTGTACGCATTAGAGCGACATAATGCCGGTCGGGTCGGCCATTCAAACTGTTTAAGAACAAGTTGAGGCACTCCAGTGCGGTTAAAGTTTCTGCATGGCGATCCCAAAGGATGGGACGACTCCTTTTTTGAAGCGACATTTCGACAGAGAACAGAAAACAGAAAACCGAAGTCGAAGTCGAAGTCGGAGGGGATTTCCACCGACAGACGAGGGCAACATTGTCATCATCAAAATCCCATTAGCAACGTATTCAAATGCGTTCGAGTGTAAAACAAGCCACATTCAATGCACGCACACATGGAGTAGAGTTCGACTCATTCATTTACAGTGGCGACATTACGCATCCGTTTGTCCGATTCCATCAGTAACTCCTCCTCCTCCTCCAGCACCACCCTTTACATCCCATACATCTATCCAATTTGCATGGATTCGGGTGCAGCGAGATCCTTTAAAATCAATGGCAATGCTAGCCTACTTATAGGCCCATCCATCCCAGCCATCCAACCATTTCAACCATTTCAACCATCCACAATCACCAGAAACCCGGGCGAACCCTTTTGGAGTCCTGTTGGATGGTCCATCATCCAATCACCCGTCCGTTGATTCCAATTACAAATCCAAATTTCGACCACCACCCTCCTCAGAAAATGTGGAGCACTCAAATTAGCATTTGGCTTGGAGGTGGAGCCCGTATCGGGTGTGTGTGAGTGTGTGTGTGTGTGTGTCCCGGCCCATATGTCCAATATTTTTTGCATTTATGTACATGTTCGATTCGTAGTGCACAATTCACTGGGCTCTCTAATTTGTAAATTTGGTTATCATGCTAGGCCAAATGCGATGATTAGCGATCGTATTTCGAGAGGTGCCAGCCGTTGGGAAAAGCTGCAAGGTATGGGAATAATGGGCTAGAGGAGTCAGAAGTTGAGCTTATTGCAGAGGGTATTATAAAATTGGCCAGAAGGTCGTAAACCCCAAGAACAGAAAGTTTGTTTTAATAAGTGTGTGTTGAAAAGAAACTACTACAACAACTGTCTGTACGTTTTCTTGAATACTTAATAATTTAAAACCT